CCCTGTTTATTTAAAGAGTTTCTCTAAGGAAGTTTTTAAGTAACACATAAAACATCTCCACTCTTCGTTATTCACAACACCCACTATTTATTTTCACCGAGATTCAATACAGTGTGTCCCAACATATTAAGCTATCCACTTCCAAAAATCGGTGGGTGAGAAAATCTTTGGAAAAAGATGAGAATCAAGTCAACAGTGGTATGGAAGAAGACACCAGAGGAACCCAAATGAGTATTTCAGTTTAGAACCTCATCATATTTTCGTCATTCAATTCAATTCAATTTTGGAACATGAAATGCGACAGTGAAAATCTGATTCGATTTATGCACTCTGTATATATCCTCCTTTTATAGATTATTATTGAAGATAAACTCATGTCCACTGGGTATTTCTCAAAAGTGGCTCACTCCTATTACTTTCTTGTTTCTATAAATAAACACATGAAATTCGGTGTGTTAGTATAGTTGATAAATACACAGAGAAAAACAATTCTTTGAATTTAACAAATATTGTTAAATTCAAAGAAATCCGAAGTTTGAATAGGTCCAACAAACAAGCTTGGTTGAATCAAAGTTTCCATTCTTTTGATTTTTCAAATAAGCGATTTTTTTGTATCTATATAATTTATTGAAAATGATATGATTCATAATTTGGAAGAAAGTGGGTATTTGTTTGAATCAAAACTATTTCTTTGGATTCATGATCAGAATTATTCATAGTGAATAAGTATAATTTGCATCAAAGAAATGAAAGCTTGAGGGAAAGAAGGAAATTATTTGGAAGAAATAAATAATTATTTGTGAAGAATAAATATATGTAAATGAAATTTGTTTCAAAGAAATCAGAGCTTGACAGAAATAAGAACATTCTTTGGAAGAAACAAATGATTATTTGTGAAAAATAAATATATGTAAATGTAATTTGATTCAAAGATGTCAATGCTTGAGAAAAACAAGGAAATTGTTTGGAAGAAACAAGCTCAAATAATGGATTCCCTTACCAGAAATAAATTGTAGATTTGAACGAAATCAAAAATTAATAAACTCAAAGAAATAGAATCTTCCTAAGGAGAATTTCATTTCTTAGAAAACAATACTCCTCTTGGAAGGAATTGAGAATTAACAACAAAATTGAACTATAACAAACTTTATTGAATAATAGAAAAAATGTGACAGACACACGACAAGATACATGATGATCCTGAAGCAGGTTGATCGCTGTTATTTGTATCCAACCTCAAATATATGGCAGGTGGATCATCGGCTCTATCATCCGGTGCATCAGCATCAATAAAAATGTTTTCGGAAATCACTGGAGTATTCACATCAATGACAGACGTAGCAGATTTCTTATTGCTCTCCTGAAAGTTTAGTATATTTTAATGCGGGAATAGATGAAATATATGCATAACAAGGAAATAAAAATTCCATAACATTGAAGTGCATTGATGACAATTTTTCATATGAAGAAAAGAGCTGTGATAATTTTTGTTCTAGTGATTATGTTCTCTATATAGTTACATGATATCTCAAAATACTTATACAGGGTATATCTAAATAACACCGAAAAAATTCAAGGGGTGATTCCTGAGTTTTAATATTCTCCCGAAGATGCTAACATAGAATCAAAACATTTAACATACTAATTATCATTTGTTTCATGGAAACAAATATTTTGTTTCAAGTGAAGCTGGTGACATTTGAATTAAAGAAATATTTATTTGACTGCATGGAATCTTCCATTGAAAATCATAGAAGAATTTGAACGCCATTTCACTGGAATATTTCAATATACAGCAGATTAGAAAGTATACTTATCTACGAAATATCACACATATACCTACCTATTCGTACATCCTTCTATGACCTACCAAATTGCACGGTTTGTCTTTTTGATGGAGATCGGTATGAAAACATCAGATAATCAACAAATCATAAAAAATTTCACGCCATTATTCCGATTTTCAAGTATGAATTACAATTCCTTACCTCTGAAAATTGGGACCAGATGATCCAAATGCCATTCTTCTGAAAAATCCATCACTACACATTAAGAGAATAGTGAAAATCTGTAAATATGCTGTGGAATTAACTATACTTAATCACCACTGTACGATACGACCCGGCCAACCACATCATCAGAGATACAAAACGAATGCGTTATGGCGGGTCTGGTAGTTTTATACGTTTCAGACAGGGTTGCCAGATGGAGCCGGAGAGCTCGTGAACCTTTTATATTATCTGTATAAGACAAGAAATTTGTATAGTGATGAATCAAAGGATGAAGGTCTAACCCTTGCATGTCATCATCTCCTTAATTTTTCAAGTGTAAAAATGATTTGAAAAATCAACTTGCCGCTGTAAACCTGAAATTATATTATGATGTCAATTAGACATTGTAGAAAAAAGATACGAATTGACAGACGGTTTTGATGAGAAGTAGGTGCCAGGCGAGTCCAAAGGTGAGGGAAATATAATTCGAAGACCAAAATTAAAGTTTACTGACTGGACGTTTACCCGTTTTTCAAAAGTACTTGATGACCGAGCATTTCAGGTTCAAAATTTTGCTTCAAATTGCGTATCAGTCATGTTCAGAATAGGTATTCAGCACGAGTAAAGATACAACTTCATGTTGGGTTTGCAGGAGATACAGCCATATAACATCAATTCTCGAAATCATGTCAAAAAGCCATTGATGACCCAAAGACAAAAGCGCCTAATTTGTTGTCAGATCTGGCAACCCTGATTTTGGATATTATAGAAACAAGTCACGCCACCGAACTGAACAATAATTAAGACTTTAAGTTTTGGTTTGGTGATTTTTTCAGTCATGGGCATCGTCGATTTTACTTTGGTAGAAGAAAATAAGTCAGTTGTTTTTACTTTTTCTGGATCTGTATTTTCATCTTCCCAATCATGCGAACATTCGACTACACAACAAAAACAAGCGCATATAATCAAAGCAATATTTGATTTGGACCAAAAATTACTATATTTTGTTATGAATTGTGCTGTCATTCAAACGAACAATTCCATAATGTAATTTCAATAAGCGCATTTATTCGAGATGAATGACACACTCGCTCTGTTCAAATTATATTTTTTAAATACAAATTTTTTGTTTGTGCATGACAACTATATCAATTGTTCATATTTATATCAAAATCATTTTTCGCCAACAAAGTGATATTTCTGTTCAAAATAATATTTATTTGCTCCAAGTAACATTTATTTCTTCGAAATAAATATATTTTCAACAAATGCTATTGTTTCACCCAAACAAATGTCATTCAAATGACCCGATGATTTCAAACAAAGAATTTGATTTGGTTTCAAGAAATAACAATTGTTTCTCGCAAATAACATTTATTTCTTGCAAACAAATATAAGTCAAACAAATGAGATTGTTTCACGCAAAGAAACGTTTTTCTCTGTGTATGCATTATTTGACGTATTCAATTGTTTCTGTCACTTCCGGTTGGATCCATATGTTTTTTTTTTTAAATGGGACACCCGGTATATTTTTACTCATTTCGATAGAGAATAACATTGAGTACAATATGACACCCCTTTTGACACTTTTTGACATTTATACTGTTCCCACATATGGGGTTCAGCACCAAAACATACGCTGATGCTCTTAGATTCCATCCAGAGAAGAGCCATTCGCCTGGTCGGTGACGCCACACTCACTCACTCTTTGACATCATTGGAACACCGTAGAAAGGTCGGCGACCTTTCACTTTTTTATCGATACTTCCACGGGAAATGTTCTTCGGAAATCTCTGCTATCATCCATTCACTAGCAATACCAATACGAACTAGACAAGCCCAGTCAGCACATCCTTTCGTTGTCAACCTCGAAAGATGTCGAACAGCACTTTATCAAGACTCCTTCATCCATAGAACAGCTAGGCTCTGGAATTCATTGCCTGTGGAAATATTCCCAACAACATATAATCTCCAAAAGTTCAAAAAAAATTCCAAAACCTACCTCCTGTCCCTATCCTCCCAAGGAACGCACGATGTTCTTTGAACATTATAGGGATTCCCTTTCGTGCGCTCCAAGCGATAAATAAATAAAAAAAATGTATCATCCTGAAATATTAATTTTTCGTTTAGGGTGATTATGATACTGGATATTGATTCAAAATATCCATTATGTATGGTCTGAATGGGCGAATGGGATTTTATTGTATTCACAATGTTATTCTCTATCGAAATAAGTAAGAATATACCGGGTGTCCCATTTAAAATGAGAAAATTCCTGTCAAACCGAGGTAACAGAAAACAATTGAATGAGCCAAATAATATTTATTTATGTTTGTTTATCTGTATAAACAAAAAAATTATAGGGGTGAGCCACTTTTGAGGAAAACCCGGTATAATCTATATTATACCACTAATGGTTTTCTCGTTGAACAATTTTGTCAAAATATTTGGGATACCCTGTATATGCAGCATACAGCCGACCAGTCATAACAAAAATAAATAAAAAAACACAACTGACCAACTTCATTCATAGCTCACTCTGAAAAACCTCGAGATTGCTAGCTACATAATGTTCATGGTATTGAGTGTTTATTCACACCTAACTGGTGTTTACTCACACCAGACTGCTGTGATAGTTTCACCAACATGGTGTAATTTGTCCAGCGGTTGTGAAATTGCACCAAGTCGGTGTGAATTATATACAAGTTCGTTGAAAATCTCGTATCAGTGTAACTTTCCCACCACTTTGGTGCAATTCTCACAACACTTCGGTGTAATTTTCACACAACTTTGGTGTAATTTCCATACCACTATGGTGTAATTTTCACACCACTATGGTGTAATTTTCACACCACTTTGGTGTAATTTCCACACCACTTTGGTGTAATTTTCACACCACTTTGGTGTAATTTTCACACCACTTACACTCGGTGTGAAATAGTCGTTGCTTCTGTTCACACATCGCCGCAATACATCAGACCGTACTGCTCGTACTGCTGCTCGTACTACCAGGCCCGCGTCTGCAGCGGCAGATAGCCGCCGCACTGCTGCTGGTAGTTGCTCTGTTGCCGGTAGGCCATCGCTAGGCCGCCATTGGCCATGCACTGCGCCGCCACCGACTGCTGCTGGTTTTGGCAGGCAGCGGCGGCGGCGGCCGCGCTAATGGCGGGTGATTGTTGCGTTCGATTGGATTCGGATGAGGTCGACGAGGTGGACGTTTGGTTGGCGGAAGAGGAGCCGCCTCCCGAACACGGTTTGCCGTCTTTGACTAGGACGGGGACGGCGACGCGTCGTGGGGAGCTCGATGACTGTAACAATAAAGAAAATAGGAGGTTAGAGGTATATAGAGGAGTCCAGAGATATTTTGAGAGTTCTCCAAATATACTTTTGAAACCTTCTAAGCCGAGCTGTGTTCATTTCCGAGTTGCTTCAACATCGAAGGAAATAAGGAAGCGAGGCGATAATAATGGTCTTATATGTTTCGTGGTTTATATACAGTGTGTACCACTTTAAGCAGCACTATATATACCCTCGTATTTTCCACCGAGTTCTGTAAAATGGGGTTACTTGGGACCTTGGGGTAACTCGTGTGTTTTCATTTTACTAGTGAAAACAATGCAAATATAATCATTACCTCAATTCAATTCTTTGATAAGTTGAATAGCAACCTGTAGATGATTGATTCAAAGAATTCATAAATTAATGATCTTACAACAGTATAAAACAAAATCTAGGTGGTGGTGAGAAGCGAGTCAAAAATAAGTGGTCGAAAGCTTTATCTGAAAGAGGGAGTGAAAAGGTAAACAGGTATGAGTCCGATTACATTTTTTAGTTAGTTTTGTATGTTTTATAAATACTGCCAATGTCGTTGCGCGCTTTTAGATTTTTTATTTAGATTTTCATCAAATATTTTTTGAGAAGTCATTAATCTGAGTATAACTAAAAAATGTTTGTACTAAAATCTGTTCTATCCGTCATTCGGTTGCCCCCTTACGAGCAACCCTCAAAAGTCTTCGAAAATCTTGTGCGAGCAAGGAATGACGGGGGCCTTACCTTTTAACGTGTGATCCCAAACACTTTCTTGGGCCATCAGAAAAATTTCTGCAGTCGACGGGGATCGAACCCACGACCGGCAAGCGAATGCGAATTAGAATATAGACACTCTGTCCGCACGGCTACCTGGCCAACTATAGAGAGACACCCATTTTTTTAGTTCTTTTGGTATGTACGATAAAAATCGTTGAAACATGTTACATGTACCCACCAGTATTCTTCATTTAAGAATTTTTTGCATATTTTTAATAAATAAATAAATATCGATTTCAAGATCATAAAATAATTAGTTAGTATAGATAATACCAATAGGTAATATCAGCAGGTTGAGGAACTGTTGAAACATAATATTATGGTATTTGTAGATGAATTTGTTTTCATATCAAATTTTCGATTATTAATAGTTAATAATTTTTCAGAACACGTTATATATTTTCTATCTAGAAGGTAAACAGAATTTATGACTACGCCACTGGACTGAAATGGGAGAAGCTCGTTAGTAGAGTCTCGGGATTATTTTTCGAAGATCGTGACAGGTTTTCTGTTTGGTTAGCGTACGCTGAATATATTATTATTCCTTAATTGTTCAGCGTATTTTTGTGGACGCAGTGTAAACAAATATGTGATTAGGAAATCATCCTTCATTGAAATTTTAAAGACGCACATATTCAATATCGTGATTAGAAAGTCAGAGTTATTCGTTAGAAAAAAAAAACACATGGTGTATGTATATGAAGGTACCTACTGTATAACGTTATAACGATTTCCTCATTGATCATAATCTTTGACCTTTTTATTTAATACCTTGATGAATTTCACACGAAATGAAATTTTTAAACAGTTAGAATTAATCAACAGCTTTGTTTCCATTAAAACTATAATATAGGTAGGTAGCAAAAGCCTACTTTCGATTAAGTATGGGTATATAGATATAGATACAGTTTCTTTTTGTTATTTGAGCTTCACCGCTCTGTATTTGAGTTACGTTTCATTTTTCGAGGTATGTATAATTACGTACACAGGGTGACACAGCGTATCGGGCCACCCCGTAACTTCTTCATTCGTAAACGGATTTTATTTTGTCAATCGGAACACCCTGTATATTTTTACATATTCAAGATTAACAGGTCAAAACAAGTGCAATTATGTCAAATGTCATTTTTTCGAAATAATTCAAATTAAATTCGTTTTTTTCTCATTTTACTAGTGGATAAATGAGATGTGGTCAAGTTGACAAGATTCAGAAATGATGTTTTCAACAGATTACTTAGGTGAAAAATAAATAGTTAATTAAAAAACTAAAGAAACACAATTTTATAGAAAGCCAAATAACTAAACAGAGGTAGAAAATAAAATAATAAAAGTGTATTGATAGATACACAACATATAGAAAATTTTAGCAGCTCTGTTATCAGTAGGTATACATTCTATGTTGTTTTTTTATCAACACCCTTTTATTATTTTATTTTATACCACCAGTTCGGCTTTCTATAGTTTTTTGAACTACTTTCCATTTCCTATTTTTTTTAGTTCGGCTAACTACAAAAGCGTGTAATTTAGTGTTCTTATATTTTTTGTAAGTTCACAGTTTTGACAAAAGAATCATAATCTCCCACCCCGAAAATCTCTAGATACTAATCCTCAATAAATTCGGACCATGCATTACCAAACCCGTCCGCCATATTTTATCCGCCATATTGAATTTTCCATCAATTTCGACAAAAGCATCATAATCTCGAACCCCAAAAATCCCCATATACCAATTTTTAATAGAATCGGATCATATCATTATACAAATGTAGTCCGCCATATTGGATCGGCCATCATGAATTTACCAATTTTGATGAAATAATCATGATATCCGATCTCGAAAACCCCCAGATACCAATTTTGAAATGGATCGGATCAAGATTACATAACTCGTTCGCAAGATTGGACCCTTCATCTTGAATTATACCAAGAAACATGATCTACGACGTCGAAAACCCCCATATACCAATTTTAAATATAATCGGATCATATAATTACAAAACTTGTCCGCCATATTGGATCCGCCATGTTGAATTCCCCAATTTTGACTGAAGAATCATAATCTCCAACCCCGAAAACCACGCAGATACAAATTTTGAATGGAATCGAATCATATTTACAAAACTCGTCCGCCATATTGGATCCGCCATCTTGAATATACCAATTTGGACGAAAGAATCATAATATCCGATCCCGAAAACCACCAGATACCAATTTTGAATAGGATCGGATCAAGCTTACCAAACTTTTCCGCCATATTGGATTCCTCCATCTTGAATTTACAGGAATTTACCAATTTTGACGAAATAAACATAATTTCTGACCTCGAAAACCCCCAAATACCAATTTTGAATGGAATCGAATCATAATTAAAAAACTCGTCCGCCATTTTAGAGCCGCCATATACGTTTTTTGTTAAAGAAGAAATCATGATGCATTGAAACCAGAATTATGTACACCTGCTAAATTTCAAACCAATCGGTCCGTTTGAATTTACCGAAATCGAAATACCAAAATGAATCGTCATGTTTATGTACCTATCTTCTATATATACATATGTTGATGGCCTTTAGGAGTTCCATTTAAAAAAAATTAATTTTTGATAGAAATCTGATGTGACTGAAATGATTCATGGATAAGTGGCACAAAAAATAAATTTTCAGAAAAAAATTATCAGGAATCATTGGGAATAACCTTGGCCACATCTCATGTATCCATGAGGTAAAATAGAAAAACAATTTCAATTCGATTTTTTCGAAAAAATTACATTTGACATGAAGATTGCACTTGTTTTGACTTGTTGTAAAATATCTAAAAATGTAGAGGGTGTTCCATATGAAAAACCAAAGTTGCTGACATTTCCAGAGAAACCGAAGTCCGCCATATTGGATTGTAGTGTGCTCATACCAAATTTCAGATGAATTGCAGAAGTTACACAGGAATGACCTGATACCCTGAGCCACCCGGTATACCCTTATTTATAAGGAGTCTCTATTGCCTTTCAAATCCAATGTACTGAAAAGTGGCGCACCCTGTATAAATGGCACAAAATTCCTTGATTCAGAGAGTTTTTTTCTCTGTGTAGCCGAAACAAGTGGTACCAATTGACATCTATTGAGAAGTTTATAATGCATCAGCAATAAAATCAGGATTCAAATCTCGTCTGCCTCTATAACGAGCGAATCGATCAAAAATAAGCGTTTTCCGGTGTGTACACACCAATTCCCCAGCCCCCTGTGTCGATTCTGTTGCCTCGCGAGGGCGAAATTTCGTCTAAAACGAGGGTCGTTCGTCGTGACGTATAGAGGCCACTCGAGATGAGCGTGTGTTTTGAAGAGGCCCCGTCTGCTGGGGAACATAAAAGCGGCCCCCGGATTTACCCTAGCGAATTTTCCGAGCCTCTGTGATATTGTCGACGGAAGATGAAATTAATTTTTTTCGAGTCGACAAAGAACGGTTTCGCGAATGGAATATTTTGAAGAACGTGAAAAATTATGAACGGAACAATTTTTCAACGAGAACATACAGGGTGTATCTAAATAACACCGAAAAAATTCAAGGGGTGTTTCCTTGTAACATTCTAGCAAATAAAGTTCATATAAAGATGTGTCTTTACTTGCTCCGTTTTTCAGATACAGGATGTTGATGTTGGAAGTATTAATTGTTTTTATTCATAACCCCCCTGTATAAGCTGTCATGGTGCAAAAACTCAGTATGGATGGAGACTGGGTAAGCCCCAAAATTTCAAAATGATTCTAATTGGGGTTATTGAGTTATCTCAATGGAAGTCTTGAAAACTCCTACATTAAAATGTTGAGTCAAATCGAATTTTTATTGTTTCCTCAAAAACTAAGCTAGATACAAAAATCATGCACACAGAACAGAGGATGAAAACTTGTTATTTCAATAATTCAAACTAATGAAAATATAAAACTCAGAAAAACTGGTGGCGTACGACATTCACCATAAATATCGACAAATTTACCCACTGTGTATCTCGAAAACGAAGCAAGTTAGGACACATGTTTATATGAACTTTATTTCCTAAAATATCACAAGGAATTTGAATTTTCTTGGTGTTTTTAGATACACCCAGAGGTACAAATATCTGCAATACATTTATGGACTGACTCAAGAATTGTGCTAAGTACATTGGATCAGATCTGAAGTGAAAGGACACAAAACGTTTGTTTCACACAGAGTAGGTGAAAAAACCGATGTATCT